TGAAAAAATTGTGTATGCGAGATTGACAGACTTCCTCGAGTCCAACTCTCTGCTAGACCCGCTTCAGTCTGGTTTCCGCGCTAAGCACTCTGTGGAAACGGCACTGACCAAAGTATCCAATGATCTACTCGCTGCAAATCTCATGGTCACTACTCTATCCTAATTCTCCTTGACCTGTCTGCGGCTTTTGACACTGTTGATCATCAACAGCTTCTTCTCATCCTCCGCAATATCGGTCTACAAGATACTGCTCTCTCCTGGTGCTCCTCCTACCTCTCCCAGCGCTTTTTCAGTGTTTCTTTCTCTGGCTCTGTTTCTTCTCCCCAACTACTCTCTGTTGGTGTCCCCCAAGGTTCAGTCCTTGGTCCCCTACTGTTCTCCATCTATACTGCCTCCCTTGGTAAACTCATTAGCTCCTTTGGCTTCCAATATCATTTCTATGCAGATGACACGTAAATCTACCTGTCCTCTCCTGATCTCTCCCCGTCCCTCTTCACTAGTGTCTCTGACTGCCTCTCTGCTGTTTCTAACTGGATGGCTGCCCACGTCCTTAAACTAAACTTGACCAAAACTGAGATTCTGGTCTTTCCTCCCTTAAGTGTTGTTACTCCTGTGTCTGTCTCCCTCCAAGTCAACACTTGCTACCATCAGCTCCAGCACGCAGGCTCGCTGCCTAGGTGTTCTCTTTGACTTCGACCTCTCCTTCAAGCCTCATGTTCAATCTATCACCAAATCCTGTCATTTCCATCTAAAAAACATTGCGCGCACCCGCCCCTACTTAACGCCAGATGCGACTAAGGTGTTGGTCCATTCCACTGTCCTTTCTCGCCTTGACTACTGTAATCCGCTTTTCAGTGGTCTTACGTGCTCCCAACTAGCACCGTTACAGTCCATAATGAATGCGGCGGCAAGGCTCATCTTCCTGTCCACACACACCTCCCATGCCTCACCCTTCTGTCAATCCCTACATTGGCTTCCTATAAAATATAGAGCTCAATTTAAAATTCTGGTTCTTGCTTTCAAATCTCTACATAATGCTGCTCCCACCTATCTATCCTCCCTTATACACAAGTATGTCCGTCTAGGCCCTTACGATCTGCTGAAGACTTACGTCTATCTTCTGTCCGCACTCCCACCTCTGATGCTCGCCTTCAAGATTTCTCGAGGGCTGCACCGTTCCTGTGGAACTCGCTTCCCTCCTCCGTTAGATGCTCACCCAGTCTCCACTCCTTCAAAAAATTGTTAAAAACCCACTTCTTCATAAAAGCGTATCCATTAAACTGTTAATAGCTCCTGACTGATTCCTCTTCTGCAACTGTCATTAGTCTAATACTATCCTTACCTTTTTGTGTCATTTTACCCCACTCCCTCTAGCATGTAAGCTCATTGAGCAGGGCCCTCAACCCCTCTGTTCCTGTGTGTCCAACTTGTCTGGTTACAACTACATGTCTGTTCGTCCACCCATTGTAAAGCGCTGCGGAATTTGAAGGCGCTCTATAAATATCATAATAATAATAAATAATAATTATCATAATATTCACCCTTACACTGCCCCTAAAAAGTTATTTTCATAGTATTAACCTGTACACTGCCCCAAAAAGCTATTCTCACAGTATTTATCCTTACATTGCCCCTATAAGATATTCTTGCAGTATTAACCCTTACACTGCCCCAATAAGCTATTCTCGCAGTATTAACCCTTATACTGCCCCTAATAAGCGATTCTTGCAGTATTAACCCTTACCCTGCCCCTAATAAGTGATTCTTGCAGTATTAACCCTTACACTGCCCCTAATAAGCTATTCTCGCAGGATTAACCCTTAAACTGCCCCTAATAAGCTTTTCTCACGGTATTAACCCTTACACTGCCCCCAATAAGCTATTCAAATGGTATTAACCCTTACACTGCCCCTAATAAGCTATTCTTACGGAATTAACCCTTACACTGCATCTAAAAAGATATTCTAGCAGCATTAACCCTTACACTGCCCCAATCAGCTATTCTCACAGTATTTACCTTACATTGCCCCTAATAAGCTATTCACACGGTATTAACCCTTACACTGCCCCAAAAAGCTATTCTCACAGTATTTACCCTTACATTGCCCCTATAAGATATTCTTGCAGTATTACCCCTTACACTGCCCCTAATAAGCTATTCTCGCAGTATTAATTCTTACACTGCCCCTAATAAGCTATTCTTGCAGTCTTAACCCTTACACTGCCCCTAATAAGCTATTCTCGCAGTATTAACCCTTAAACTGCCCCTAATAAACTATTCTCATGGTATTAAGCCTTACACTGCCCCTAATAAGCTATTCTCACAATATTAACCCTTACACTGCCCTTAATAAGCTAGTCTTGCAGTATTTACCCTTACACTGCCCCTAATAAGCTATTCTCAGGGTATTAACCCTTACACTGCCCCTAATAAGCTATTCTCACTGTATTAACCCTTAAACTGCCCCTAATAAGCTATTCTCACAGTATTAACCCTTACACTGCCCATAATAAGCTATTCTTGCAGTATTAACCTTACACTGCCCCTAATAAGCTATTCTTGCAGTATTAACCCTTAAACTGACCCTAATAAACTATTCTCATGGTATTAACCCTTACACTACTCCAATAAGCTATTCCTGCAGTATTTATCCTTACACTGCCCCTAATAAGCTATTCTCATGGTATTAACCTTTACACTGCCCCTAATAAGCTCTTCTCACAGTATTAACCCATACACAGCCCCTAATAAGATATTCTCACTGTATTAACCCTTAAACTGCCCCCAATAAGCTATTCTCACAGTATTAACCCTTACACTGCCCCTAATAAGCTATTCACATGGTATTAACCCTTACACTGCTCCTAATAAGATATTCTCACGGAATTAACCCTTACACTGCCTCCAATGAGATATTCTCACAGTATTAACCCTTACACTGCCCCATATAAGCTATTCTCGCAGTATTAACCTTTACACTGCCTCTAATAAGCTATTCTCATGGTATTAACCCTTACACTGTCCCTATTGAGCTATTCTCGCAGTATTAACCCTTACACTGCCCCTAATAGGCTATTCTCGCAGTATCAACCCTTACACTGCCTCTAATAAGCTATCTGAGAATTAACCCTTACACTGCTCCATATAAGCTATTATCACAGAATTAACCCTTACACTGCCCCATATAAGCTATTATCGCAGAATTAACCTTTACACTGCATCTAATAAGCTATTATCTCAGAATTAACCCTTACACTGCCCCTAATAAGCTATTCACATGGTATTAACCCTTACACTGCTCCTAATAAGATATTCTCACGGAATTAACCCTTACACTGCCTCCAATAAGATATTCTCACAGTATTAACCCTTACACTGCCCCATATAAGCTATTCTCGCAGTATTAACCCTTACACTGCCTCTAATAAACTATTCTCATGGTATTAACCCTTACACTACTCCAATAAGCTATTCCTGCAGTATTTATCCTTACACTGCCCCTAATAAGCTATTCTCATGGTATTAACCTTTACACTGCCCCTAATAAGCTCTTCTCACAGTATTAACCCATACACAGCCCCTAATAAGATATTCTCACTGTATTAACCCTTAAACTGCCCCCAATAAGCTATTCTCACAGTATTAACCCTTACACTGCCCCTAGTAAGATATTCTCACAGTATTTACACTTACACTGCTCCTAATAAGCTATTAACACATACAGTGCCCCTAAAAAGATATTCTCGCAGTATTAACCTTTACACTGTCCCATATAAGCTATTCTCACAGTATTAACACTTACACTGCCCCTAATAAGCTATTCACATGGTATTAACCCTTACACTGCTCCTAATAAGATATTCTCACGGAATTAACCCTTACACTGCCTCCAATAAGATATTCTCACAGTATTAACCCTTACACTGCCCCATATAAGCTATTCTCGCAGTATTAACCCTTACACTGCCCCATATAAGCTATTCCTGCAGTATTAACCCTTACACTGCCTCTAATAAGCTATTCTCATGGTATTAACCCTTACACTGTCCCTATTGAGCTATTCTCGCAGTATTAACCCTTACACTGCCCCTAATAGGCTATTCTCGCAGTATCAACCCTTACACTGCCTCTAATAAGCTATCTGAGAATTAACCCTTACACTGCTCCATATAAGCTATTATCACAGAATGAACCCTTACACTGCCCCATATAAGCTATTATCGCAGAATTAACCTTTACACTGCATCTAATAAGCTATTATCTCAGAATTAACCCTTACACTGCCTCTAATAAGCTATTCTCGCAGTATTAACCCTTACACTGCCCCTAATAGGCTATTCTCGCAGTATTATCCTTACACTGCCTCTAATAAGCTATTATCGGAGAATTAACCCTTACACTGCCCCATATAAGCTATTATCGCAGAATTAACCTTTACACTGCATCTAATAAGCTATTATCTCAGAATTAACCCTTACACTGCCTCTAATAAGCTATTATCGCAGAATTAATCCTTACACTGCCCCATATAAGCTATTATCGCAGAACTAACCCTTACACTGCCCCTAATAAGCTATTCTCGCAGAATTAACCCTTACTGTTCCATATAAGCTATTATCGCAGAATTAACCCTTACACTGTCCCAATAAGCTATTCTCATGGTATTAACCGTTACATTGCCCCTAATAAGCTATTCTCACAATATTTACCCTGGAAAATAATATTCTCCTCCTTATGTCTGCGCTGATGGGAATATACAAGATTAATCTAAATATAAGGGTTGTGATTTTTGAATATAATTACACAGTAATTGAATACACAGTGTGTAAGGAATTTGTTTTAGGGTGTAAAGCAAACTGTTTTAGGATATTGAGCTATTTGTTTTGGTTGAAGCTGTCCAGCGATACATAGCACAGAAGGACAGTGGAGTGAATTGTTCAGTTATTTTTACTCTTGAAGAAATGAAAGTGTTGGGTTTCTTTGACCATTAAGGCAGTGCCGGAGACAATCCCATAAGTGGAGATGCTGAGCGAGCAGACTTGCCTCTATATAAACCATCCATCCTCTCCTGGAGCAGAAAGGACTTCAGTCAGTAAGTAGTGGTCACTTGGAGGGGACGTGCATGTATCTGATGGAGGCTGAGTGCAATGCCACAATGTTACCAATAACGCTTTTCTTATCTTTCTATTAAAAGGGGGGAATCTTTTGACCAAGGTTGTCACTAACAGGTGAGTTTCCATGGCGTGGAATTTGGAATCATAGAAAATGTTATTTTGTATTCTAATTTGAGCTCACATGTACATGGTCACAACGGGCTATATTTACTAAATGTTTCTTGCACATTTTCTCCCAGAAACATTTTGCAATTTGATGATCACCTCACTATAACACATTGGGGACATTCACACAACATGCATTGCAAATTGTACCCAAAACCAACTAATTCTCCAAACCAGCTATTTTCCATTTCAGTTATTCTAGTTTCTTGTTGGCAGTTTATTGAATTAATAGAGGATAATCTCCTGGATACCTGACCTTATGGAAAGTGTTAGCCAATACAAACTGGATAAATCACTATTCCATGCAGCACGTTCTTAGCTCCAAACAGTCCTGACATTAGTCTCAGGGGGTCCATAGATCCCTCTAAACCTCATTCACACACTGACTGGACTAAGAGAGCTGCTGTATCATTCAGTGAAAAGTCAAGGTAATAATGATGTGGCCCACAGACTCTGCAGTTTATTATTATTTATGAAGCGCCAACAGATTCCGCAGCGCTGTACAATAGATGGACTAACAGACAAGTTGGGCGCACAGCACACCTGATACTGAGAATCTTACCATGATCTGCAGGTCAGGGCAAGCTGTAATTATTAATAATTCAGGTTTTGCACACTTATTAGTACATCTATAGGAATGGAGGAAGACATGTTTGAAAACCCAGAAAGCTGATTGTGCTATAATATAATATTCCAATTATTTCTGTCAACATGGCTTTGTCTGCCAATACGTGTTACATTGTATCCCCTCTATATAACGCTCATTTAATGTGATTACAGAGAGAAACAGCCATGGGTGATGGAGAAATGGCCGTGTTTGGACCCGCTGCACCTTTCTTACGGAAATCTGAGAAGGAGAGGTTGGAAGCACAGAACAAGCCTTTTGATGCCAAGAATAGCTGTTTCGTGGATGAGCCGAAGGAGCTGTATGTAAAGGGTCTCATCACTGCTCGAGACAGCGGCAAAGTCACTGTGAACACGGATGATGGAAAGGTAATTGTATGAAATCAGTCATAGCTGGAGAATCAGATCAGCAGACTGGGATCAGGTCACACAAATCCTTTTCCTTTCCTTTCAGACTGTGACTGTGAAAGACACCCAAGTGTACCCCCAGAATCCCCCCAAGTTCGATAAGATTGAAGACATGGCCATGCTGACCCATCTAAACGAGGCCTCTGTGCTGTATAACCTCAAAGAGCGTTACGCAGCCTGGATGATCTATGTAAGACATTATTCCAAATGTATAGTATTCTTTCCCAAACTTAATGTAGAAATTCCATCATTCCCTCTGGACACTCATATTAAAGAGGCAAGGAGGGCAGCTTAACTCCTGTTAGTGAATACCAATACTCTGGCTCTTTGCAGACCTACTCTGGCCTGTTCTGTGTGACTGTGAACCCCTACAAGTGGCTGCCAGTGTACAACCCTGAGGTGGTGAATGGCTACAGGGGAAAGAAGCGCCAGGAAGCGCCTCCCCACATTTTCTCAATCTCTGATAACGCCTATCAGTTCATGTTAACAGGTAAATATCCTTTCCACTCCTTTATCCAATCTCTTCAATCCAGAAACATTATAATTAATTTATATATGTTTTGTCCTTGTAGATCGTGAAAACCAGTCTATCCTGATTACGTAAGTACAATGTCTAATCAAACAAAAATGCCCCAATGTGATGGATTTAGTATGACGATTAATCTTGTGTCTTATCCTTGCTAGTGGAGAATCCGGAGCTGGAAAGACTGTGAACACCAAGCGTGTCATCCAGTACTTTGCAACAATTGCAGCTGCTGGGGATGCTGGGAAGAAGAAAGAATCGTCCAAGGTAAAAATGCTCAGAGAACAATAAGGGTCTCGGCCTTTTATAATGCACTATTATATACATATGTAGTGCCAGGATACATTCTGACCAGGCAGTATCATGGTAACAGAGTAAGCAATTCATTCCAGATAATAGGTGACTTCTATAAAGTTTCTTATCCCTTGGAAACTTGCCTCAATCCATGAATGACTTGATTTTCTTAGAAAGGAAATTCTATTATATAACATAATAATATATTTAATGTATCTTAGGGAACTCTGGAAGATCAAATCATCCAGGCCAACCCTCTACTGGAAGCCTTTGGTAACGCCAAGACTGTGAGAAATGACAACTCCTCTCGTTTTGTAAGTTACACACATTTGGAAATGTATAGACATATATCTCAGAAATGGAAATATTGTTAAATGATCATTTCCCATCTTTAGGGTAAATTTATCAGAATTCACTTTGGGACCACAGGAAAACTGGCCTCTGCAGATATTGAAACATGTAAGGCTCGGCAACCTTAATTATGTATTTTTCCTTTAACTTAGTTTTCTGTCTACTGATCTGTAATTCCGCATCATTATAGACCTTTTGGAAAAATCCAGAGTGACATTCCAACTGTCAGCTGAGAGAAGCTACCATATCTTTTACCAAATCCTGACCAACAAGAGACCAGAGCTTATTGGTAAGATTAGACTTCTACCAACGACGATATCATAGAGAAAAAGTGATGTCAACATGGTCTGACATCTATTAGATAATCAATGAAACACGCTTTAAAACCAGTATGTTAATTCAACTCAATATTGCCACCTAGAAATGCTGCTTGTTACCACCAACCCATATGACTACCCCTTCATCAGCCAGGGAGAGATTTCTGTGAAGAGTATTGATGACGAGGAGGAGTTGATGGCTACAGATGTATGTATTCACATGTGAAATGCAATACAATGTCAACTAACAGCTTTAATCAGTCACTGGAACTCACACGTTTGTGTATTCACAGAGTGCCATCGATATTCTGGGATTTAACTCAGATGAGAAGAATGGCATCTACAAGATGACTGGAGCAGTCATGCACCATGGTAACATGAGGTTTAAACAGAAGCAGAGAGAGGAGCAGGCTGAGCCCGATGGCACCGAAGGTATCTCCTCTGTCCTCATAATTTAAACTTTAGCTGTGGACTATAGGCATTGTGAAAATGTACATATGATGCATGTCTTCCATATAGTTGCTGATAAAATTGGCTACTTGATGGGTCTGAACTCTGCTGACTTGCTGAAGGCTTTGTGCTATCCAAGAGTAAAAGTTGGAAATGAATATGTCACCAAAGGACAGACAGTCCAACAGGTATGCATCAAAACGCATTGATTAAAAAATGTATATGAATATTTTTTTCTCTCCAACAATTATTACTATTCTGTCTCCTCAGGTGTATAACGCTATTGGAGCTCTGAGCAAATCTGTGTTTGAGAAGTTGTTCTTGTGGATGGTGACCCGTATCAATCAGCAGCTGGACACCAGACTCCCAAGACAGTACTTTATTGGTGTGCTGGATATTGCTGGCTTTGAAATCTTTGATGTAAGTTATTATTTGATCGACTGCCATGTTTCAGTGGTGTCAGTAATTCTCAGAGACAAGTCTACTTAATTCATCATTTTATTTTCCAGTATAACAGCTTGGAACAGCTCTGCATCAATTTCACCAATGAAAAACTGCAGCAATTCTTCAACCACCACATGTTCGTCCTGGAACAGGAGGAATATAAAAAGGAAGGCATTGAATGGGAGTTCATTGACTTTGGTATGGATCTGGCTGCCTGTATCGAACTTATTGAAAAGGTGAGTATAAGATTAAAGCTGACTTCCAAGCACTAATGGAAGGTCAATGGAATATCAACGCTTTCTGTCCCCATCTTTTCAGCCAATGGGCATCTTCTCAATTCTGGAAGAGGAGTGCATGTTCCCCAAAGCTACTGACACCTCATTCAAGAACAAGCTGTATGACCAGCACTTGGGCAAATGCAAGAACTTTGAGAAGCCCAAACCTGCCAAGGGGAAGGCTGAGGCTCATTTCTCCCTCGTACATTATGCCGGCACCGTGGACTACAACATCACTGGCTGGCTTGACAAGAACAAGGACCCCCTGAATGAGACTGTTGTGGGCCTCTACCAGAAATCTTCCGTTAAACTCTTGTCCTTCCTCTACTCATCTTATGCTGCTGCAGATGGTAGTTATAAATTACATATACATTTCAATAACATTTTACGTGTTTCACAAATCATATTCTAAACAAACTATTCCATATTACAGCCGAGGCTGGTGCAAAAAGTGGAAAGAAAAAAAAAGGATCATCTTTCCAGACAGTGTCTGCTCTCTTTAGAGTACGTATAATTATGTACATGTATTCACCTCTCTTACTGTTTCTCATTCTAAGGTAACAGAACACATTTAATTTGTACAATATATATATCAACCTAGTAATAATTAAATTTTAAAAACCATGCAATCTAGATTTCAAGCTTAAAATAACTCTGCAGGACAAATTGGACAAGAAAGTGAAAACAAGTTTCTCAGCTAAAGTTCAGATCTTGGAGAATTGCTTTAGAAGATATAGGAAGAGGGGCTTCCCGATGCTTCCTGTTTGTTGTGAGGCTGTTATTAAGACAGGAGGGTTATTTTCGGGAAGCCAGAATTGCAAATTCTTAATGTTTTTATTTACCTGAAATTTTGCTTTGTAGCATGTGTTTTCCATTTAAAGCACTTAAAAATAAATGATATATTATGTACCAAATATTTTAGCAAGCCGCTCTCTCTCTCTCTCTATATATATATATATATATAAATATATATATACTATGCATTAAAAGTTTATATTATATACACTATATATATTTTAAGAGAAAATATTGTATCACTTGTTGTAATGTACTTATTTACTACTTACAGGAAAACTTGAACAAGCTAATGACTAACCTGAGATGCACTCACCCACACTTTGTGCGTTGTCTGATTCCCAACGAGACCAAGACTCCAGGTAACACATTATTCCAAACAATTGCAAGGAAGGAAACCTGACTGACGCGTTCCTTTAATCGATCATAATTACTTTTCCATTCAGGTACCATGGAGAATCATCTTATCATCCACCAACTGAGGTGTAACGGTGTGTTGGAAGGTATTAGAATCTGCAGAAAAGGATTTCCAAGCAGAATCCTTTATGCTGATTTCAAGCAACGGTAATTAATCTATATCTGCATTACACGAAAGCTGGATGTATACAGAAGTAAATTTTAAAAGAGGAGCAGAGAATTGTACAAGAACTCTGTTTAATACTTTGTATAAGCTTTTCAAGTGATCTAATATTTCTGAATAAACTTTTAATATGGTTTAATATTTGGAAACTTTTAATATTTTTATATATTTTATATATTTGATATATTATTTTATGTATGACATCATTTTTTAGAATGTTTTATATTAAAAAAAAAAATCTTTGTAAAAGTTTATTCAAAATATTGAATCATTTGAAAGTCTTATCCATAAATAATATTTGGAAGTCTCAGGTCTAATTCATAATTTGAAAAGCTTTGAAACAACCATGAACTAATAAAGTTAAGGGAAATCTGAACAATCTTGTCATCACCAACTTCAGAAAATGTGCAGTCACTGTGACTGGGTTTTCATAAACCCCTTACTGAAGTGTCTCATCTTTGTTTTATTGGTGAAGTTACAAAGTCCTGAACGCCAGTGCAATTCCAGATGGCCAGTTTATTGACAGCAAGAAAGCTGCTGAGAAATTGTTGGGATCCATTGATGTTGATCACTCTCAGTATAAATTTGGGCACACCAAGGTAATGAAAGGCTCCTACGGAGCACTCTGTACTATGTGTTTGTGAGTTCTCTAAATCACTCCTAACTACGTATCCTTTCTTTACAGGTTTTCTTCAAAGCTGGCCTTTTGGGTGTACTAGAGGAAATGCGAGATGACAAGTTGGCCCAACTGATCACGCGCACTCAGGCTCTCTGCAGAGGATTCCTTTCAAGAGTTGAATTCAAGAAGATGGTGGAAAGAAGGTATTACTTAACCTTTTAGATGTTTAAAATACTAACATCTATGAATAATTCTTGCCGCTAACACTTTGTCCTTTATCCCCGGACAGAGATGCTTTGTTTGTCATCCAGTACAACATCAGGTCTTTCATGAACGTCAAACATTGGCCATGGATGAAGCTGTACTTCAAGATTAAACCTCTACTGAAGAGTGCCGAGACTGAGAAGGAAATGGCCAACATGAAAGAGGAGTTTGAGAAGACAAAGGAAGCCCTTGGTAAATCAGATAAACGCAGGAAGGAACTGGAAGAGAAAATGGTTGCCCTCCTGCAAGAAAGAAATGATTTACAACTGCAAGTTCAGTCGGTAAGAAAGTAAGAAAAGATATTGACATAAAATGTAATTACAAATAAATGCACAAAATATGACACATATCACACTCTTATAGGAATCTGAAAACCTGACTGATGCAGAAGAGAGATGTGAAGGACTCATCAAAAGCAAAATTAATCTTGAAGCTAAAATCAAGGAGATCACAGAAAGACTTGAAGATGAGGAGGAAAGCAATGCCGAGCTAACTGCCAAAAAAAGGAAACTAGAGGATGAATGCTCAGAGCTAAAGAAGGATATCGATGACCTGGAACTCACCTTAGCCAAAGTAGAAAAGGAGAAGCACGCCACTGAAAACAAGGTAAGAGGAACTACAATTACGACCCTAAATCATTTCATTCCAAAGTACAATTATATACAAGATCTTTCATATTAATCCGGTAGGTTAAAAACCTTACTGAAGAAATGGCTGGACTAGATGAGAACATCACAAAGATTACCAAAGAGAAGAAAGCTCTCCAAGAGGCCCATCAACAAACTCTTGATGATCTCCAGGCTGAAGAAGACAAAGTCAATACTTTAACAAAAGCCAAAACAAAGCTGGAACAGCAAGTGGATGATGTAAGTAATTATAACATTTTTGCAGCATCTAAAACTACTATTTATTAGCAAAATGTGTCAATATCACTGAAAATACTTTACAAATTTAATAGCTGGAAGGGTCACTGGAACAAGAGAAGAAACTTCGTCTTGATCTTGAGAGAGCCAAAAGAAAGCTGGAAGGTGATCTGAAACTGGCTCAGGAAACAATCATGGATCTAGAAAATGACAAACAGCAAACAGATGAAAAAGTCAAAAAGTTAGTCTTTCATATTTATTTCCTAAAGAAAGTCAGGAAAAGTTAATTAGACCTGTTTAATAACAAATTGTTCTTCCAAAACCAGGAAGGACTTTGAAATAAGTCAGCTTCAGGGAAGAATTGAAGATGAACAGTCTCTGGGATCTCAACTGCAGAAAAAGATCAAGGAACTGCAGGTAAAGATACATTGAAAAATGTTAACAAAGACAAACTAGTTCCTTTAATAATGTTCATTGTAAGCCTGTTTGAGCGGAATCCACAATAACCTAATTTCGTCTTAAGACTTCTTATTGTTCATATATTAACTGTTTTCTGTTATAGCCACACATTAACATGTGTTGAAGCTACATAAACACTAATCACAATTGTTAATAGACTAAATTAGTACTTCAGGGAAATGACACAACTCTAACCAGTAAATCACTGTTTTAGGCCCGTATTGAAGAGGTTGAGGAGGAGATTGAAGCTGAACGAGCTGCTCGAGCAAGAGTTGAGAAGCAGAGAGCTGACCTCTCCAGAGAACTGGAGGAAATCAGTGAAAGACTAGAAGAAGCTGGAGGAGCAACATCAGTCCAGATTGAGTTGAACAAGAAACGTGAAGCTGAGTTCCAGAAACTGAGACGAGACCTGGAAGAATCCACCCTTCAACATGAAGCTACTTCAGCTGCTCTGCGCAAGAAGCACGCTGATAGCGTTGCTGAGCTGGGTGAACAGATTGACAATCTTCAAAGAGTGAAACAGAAGCTGGAAAAAGAGAAGAGTGAGCTAAAGATGGAAATCGATGACATGGCCAGCAATCTGGAGAACGTGTCTAAGTCCAAGGTACAAAAAGTGCAAGTAGCAGTTCATGTCCTAGTTACTGTGTTAATGTAACAAGCTTTGTTTTAATTATTTCATTTCATTCTAAAGGCCAATCTGGAAAAAGTGAGCCGGATGCTAGAAGACCAACTGAGTGAGATAAAGACAAAGGATGATGAACACCAAAGGCTAATTAATGACCTATCAGCTCAAAGAGCTCGGTTCCAGACCGAGAATGGTATGTGGATTAGAATATAAATTTAACCTAAACTGACTGAATCAGATTTACTTATCATGTTAGGAATTATACAAAGGCCATAAATTAATATCTGCCCACAAGCAAAAAAAGAAATATAGCATGCTTAACATTGTAACTGAACTTATAATAATTGTGACTGATAAAATAATTGTTTTATTTTTAAAAAGAACAAAATTAAAATTGGCAACAGAAAAATACAAAAATAAACTAAAAATGAATCCCAGGAGTCTAATATTTTTTTTTTCTCTGAACAGGTGAATTATCCCGTCACGTAGAAGAAAAAGAAGCTCTGATTTCTCAGCTGACCAGAGGCAAACAGGGATTTACTCAACAAACTGAGGAGCTGAAGAGGCAACTGGAAGAGGAAACAAAGGTAAATGTGCAGAATATACAAAGGATTTATCTTGTCTTCTAACAAGCTCCAGTACAGCAAAGTGTGTAATGAAACTAATAATAATAATTGGAGCTGGAGGTATCAATTCCAACATCGGACCTTCTCATTACACCTTTCTTACTGTGCATTTCGTTTCCATACAAATCGTGATAATCTGATATTGGTACATGCCAGTCCTGCACGACTATATGGTATTAGTGTCTCCGTGGAAAGGCACTCTCTCTATAGAGAGTTAACTTCAAATCATGTTCATTTTAATTTGCAGCTCTGTCTGCTTCTTCTTCTACCTTAGCAAAATCATTTTTGTTTAACGTTCACAATAAATGTAAATACTTTTTATAAATTATTTTAAACTGTCTCATATTTACATCCACAGGCCAAGAACGCCCTTGCTCACGCTCTGCAATCCTCCCGCCATGACTGTGACTTGCTCCGTGAACAGTATGAGGAGGAACAGGAGGCAAAGGCTGAGCTCCAGCGCGCTTTGTCCAAAGCAAATGGGGAGGTCGCACAATGGAGAAACAAATATGAGACAGATGCCATTCAGCGCACTGAAGAGCTGGAAGAGGCCAAGTATGCACTAACTAGCTCTGGATAATAAAACTGGAAGCTATTTAAGGCTAGCAATAATTCCCACTAATTAAACATTCTGATTAATTACCAGGAAGAAGCTGGCTCAGCGTTTACAGGAAGCTGAAGAGCAGGTGGAAGCCGTGAACTCCAAGTGTGGATCCCTGGAAAAGACCAAGCAGAGGCTGCAGGCTGAAGTGGAAGATCTGATGGTGGATGTTGAACGAGCAAACAGCGCAGCGGCAGCTCTTGACAAGAAGCAGAGGAACTTCGATAAGGTAAAGAGTTAATATATTCATATTATACCTAACGTTTCTAAAGTGGCATTCAAAAATAAACCATATTACACAACTCTGCACCATCAGGTCCTAGTAGAATGGAAACAGAAGTATGAAGAAGGCCAAGCTGAACTAGAGGCAGCTCTAAAAGAGTCCCGCACGCTGAGCACGGAGATCTTTAAAATGAAGAACGCGTATGAGGAGGCTTTAGAACAACTGGAAAGTCTAAAACGGGAAAACAAGAACCTGCAACGTACGTAATATACTAAGTGGAACTAACTGTAAAAAAAAGATAAATATTCCATAGAGAAAGAATTTAATATCGTAAGAGTGAATTAAAGAATATTCATATAGAATACTTTTTGTGGCAATTTCCTACACAGAGGAGATCTCAGATCTGACTGAACAAATTGGTGAATCTGCAAAATCTATCAATGAGCTGGAAAAAGCCAAGAAGGTTGTAGAACAGGAAAAGAACGATCTGCAAGCAGCCTTGGAGGAAGCGGAGGTACAGAGAGATCCTTCATTGGGTGAAAAAAAAACATACAACTTGTTTTCATTTTTAAAGTATGAGTTATTTTTGCCTTAACTAGGGATCTCTGGAGCACGAAGAAGCAAAGATCCTGCGTATTCAGCTTGAACTGAACCAGGTGAAATCGGAGGTAGACAGGAAAATTGCAGAGAAAGATGAAGAGATTGAGCAGCTGAAGCGGAACAGTCAGAGAATCATTGATACTATGCAGAGTACGCTGGACTCTGAAATCAGAAGCCGTAATGATGCTCTCAGACTAAAGAAAAAGATGGAGGGAGATCTGAATGAACTGGAAATCCAGCTGAGTCACGCCAACCGCCAAGCTGCGGAGGCGCAGAAACAGCTCCGAAATGTCCAGGCACAGCTGAAGGTATGGCAAACTCTAAAAGTCATTCAATAGATTGTCACCGAGACCAGTGTGCTAAAGGTGTAATACAAATAGCAATGTAAAAACAGTCATAGAAAGGTATATAAAATGACAAAGTAGTAAAAGAACATATCACATCATACAGAATTGTGTAATTGTTCAGCCTGCAGACATATTCCCATTATTTTCTCAGCTTACAAACTTTCTATCGGTCTATAAATGATTCGGTTTCTCCTGCTTGTTTTTTTAAGACAGGGCTTAAAATGTCTAGCCCTACACTAGCCAAGCCTTAAAACCTTAAAATGGCCACTACAAACCCGGCAGAGTCCATGACACTCCAACCAGGCGAAATTTCTACATAAATGGAAACTGTGATACATAAAATGTCCTTGGGGCACAAAGCCCTGGGTGAAGGAAGCATTGTAAGGTATTAGTGGCACAATGACATCATTATGACAGGCCACTCTCTCTCACGAGTGCAATAAAATGAATGTTTGAGATAACTGTAAAACTAACTTGTTCTATACATTGGCATACTAGGATACCCAGCTCCACTTGGATGATGCTCTCAGAGGTCAGGAGGACATGAAAGAGCAACTTGCTGTGGTGGAGCGCAGGAATAACCTACAACAGGCCGAAATTGAGGAGATAAGATCTGCCCTAGAACAGACTGAGAGATCTAGAAAGATTGCTGAGCAGGAACTTCTGGATGCCAGTGAAAGAGTCCAGCTTCTTCACACCCAGGTAGGACCATTCAATAAAGAGAAGAGATCTCAGTGCTGTATCCTGTGTTACAAAGCAAGTAATTCTAAATTCTCTTTTCCACTTTAGAATACAAGTCTCCTAAGCACAAAGAAGAAGCTGGAGAGTGACGCATCCCAGCTTCAGAATGAAGTCGAGGAAGCAGTTCAAGAAGCCAGGAATGCAGAAGAGAAAGCCAAGAAAGCCATCACTGATGTAAGTGTTGTCCTGTTTTTGTACAGACGTTCCTCAAAGTGTTTATTTTAACTAAGGATTTTTTATATACTCTCAAAGGCTGCTTTAATGGCTGAGGAACTGAAGAAAGAGCAGGACACAAGTGCACACTTAGAGAGAATGAAGAAGAATCTTGAACAGACAGTGAAGGACCTTCAGCTTCGTTTGGATGAAGCTGAGCAGCTGGCCATGAAAGGAGGCAAGAAGCAGCTCCAGAAACTGGAAGCAAGGGTACATAGTAAAGGGTACTACTAATTCATTAAAATTAGTTTAAAAGTGAGTACTTGCCATGTTAACATAAACATGACATTTACAGGTCCGTGAACTGGAGAATGAATTAGATAATGAACAGAAGCGTGGTGCAGAGGCAGTGAAGGGCGTGCGCAAATACGAAAGGAGACTGAAGGAACTGACTTACCAGGTGAACTACAATCCTTACATAACTAAACACCCACCAAATGCCCTCAACATTTTAATAGAGAAATCTCACATTTTATTGTGTGGCAAAACCCAACATTGCATTTTGAATTAAAAAAAGGACATAGAAACCCACAATCAAATTAAGATTGAGTGTGTGATAAATTACAGGTCACGTAACATTGTTGTCCATGTAGAAATGATAAAGCCGAACAATACTTGCTTCACCGCTGCTAATATATTGTCCTTCTCCCTTTTTTAGACTGAAGAAGACAGAAAGAATGTCCTAAGACTGCAGGATCTGGTGGACAAGCTCCAGCTGAAAGTTAAGGCCTACAAGAGACAGGCTGAGGAGTCGGTGAGTTCAAAATAAGAGAGCCAAAAGAAATGAAGCTTGTGATTTATAGACATGGGTTTATAATATAATACAGTTCATGGTCTGAGCTATAGTGATGAGTTCACAGAGCTGAATTTTATTTTTCTTTACCATGATACCTCTAGGAGGAACAGGCCAACACACACCTCACCCGCTTTAGAAAGGTTCAGCATGAGCTGGAAGAGGCAGAGGAGAGAGCAGACATTGCAGAATCTCAAGTGAATAAGCTGAGGGCAAAAAGTCGCGATATCAGCAGCAAGGTGGGATAATACAGAGATAAAAACCAACGAATATTGTGATTCTATCCTACTTAAGAAAATGAACATTTTAACGTATGCGGAAACTAAATCATATTTTCTTTTCTTCTTACAGAAAGGAGAAAGCGAGGAATAAAGAATTTAGCCTGTTCAGAAGAATCAGAAATTTGCAGAATGTGAATTTCTTTCTTCTCTAAAATCCCTGTCTTTATTTCATACCTTCTCCAATTATAAATAAACAATTTCTTTTAAATGTTTTTTTGTGTGTTTTTTTTTATCTGTGTAGGTGGTCAGCTAAAATAAATGTTTATTTGTCATGTCATGTAATTTAAAGAGCAGTTTGGCTGCCTACATGAGTTAATGTCAATGCTTCAAGCTGTTCATGGGTAAGTCCCACATTCTTAATTTCAAAATATTCTCTTTTAAACCTCAAATTAACTCAATAATAATGTTGACATGTAAGTCACCACATCCTACCTGCTGATCCACTTTCCATGCATACACCAGAGGGCTGAGATATGTAAACTAGAGGTAGTTATAATCTATGTTCTGCGTTATTCCATATGAATGAATTTTATTAAGACACGGAGGCTCCTATTATGCTGCACTCTTTCTTTATTTACCTCAGCAGCAAAGAAAAATAACATTAAATCAGTATAAAAGAAACCAGTAAATAACATGAGGTATATCTTCCTAGCAACAGGAACAGCCAATCAGCATCCTCTTTATAGCATAATGGGTGGTGTCCATTATAGTACTTCCTCTTTCTTTGCTGCTCACTCAGTTAAGTGACACTGGGTCCCATGGTTCTTAACTGTGGGATCTTTTACTTTACTTTATTCATATCATTACTGTGGTTAATATAGTTATTATAGTTATTACATTTTAATTATGATATTTTCATGTTTATAAATATATTTAGTTACTTCATTTTAACTTAATTTGATTTATTTACTTCATTTGCTTCAGTTATATGCTTTATTGTATATCCTTTGATAATTTCTTTCCCCTCTGACCTCCCTGGCCCCAAGATTACCATTGTGACGGACCGCTGGCACTCCGACTGAGTACCTCCACCAATCAATGCTCCTAGTGCTCGCTGAGGACTCCAACCGACACCATCAGCACTGCAGACCCCACTTCCAGCGATGCAACTGCGCCGGGGTCTCTGCTGTCTCCACCCACCCTGGACCCAAGGCCAGGATCCAGCTTCCAGTGGGTGAACCTCTCTATCCCCAGAGAGCAGGAACAGGAACAAGCTCTTAGCAGAACTTAGCGATCATACTCTGGGGAGTATTTCTCCAATCCCCCAAACATGAGCCAAGGCTTGATGCTGGAACAAGACTAATTTACTGGCACACAGAACTCACAATTTATGCAACACAAAACTCCTCCTCTGGGCCAGGCTAGATAATTGAGTTTCTACAATACACAAAGTTCAATTATATGCTGGCCAGAAATAATACAGTTTTTACAGCATTCATAACTTCTAAAATATACATCACATTCACATAAAAATTATATATATATAATATATATATTATATATTCACAATCAATCCATTCAGGGAAACAACATATCAAAAAATGGCATGAATCAGACCAGGGGTTCAGAAGTTAGTAAAGTATCTTTTGGGGCCTGGCTGGCAGCATGGCTATCTGGCCCAAACTGGTTTTACAGAGCCCTCTAGCCTGGAGACAATGGGGAAAGTAATCCAATTATCCAGGGATAGAAGCAGACTCCATTGAGCACATGTTCCTAGTAAAACACAAAGGGATACAAAAATACATAACTCCTATCATACTGAATTGAACGGGCCAAATCTCCCAGGGTCCATAGTCACAGGGCAGAAGGCGGGCAAGCAGTCCTCTCCAGGCACAAGTGGCGAAGGGCACTTCGTCACAACCATCAATTGGGGCTCAGGGACATCTTTGAGGATCTTTATCTCCTGAATAGTGCCATTGTGCTGTTTTTTCCCTTCATTTATCTGTCTGGCTGCTTCTCTGCCACCAACTGCTAGAAATCCAAGTTGGGGTTTATTTGTAGTGGCAGCTCCTGTGTTTTTATATTACAATTGCTATATTTTCACTATTGTGAGTACTTTCATTTCTTTATCCTGTTTAGTTATTTATTTATTTTTTACTTGAGGGTTACTCAACCCTTTCCTTTTGGTATTATTTTACTTTATTCATCCTCTTAGGTTTGTTTGTAAATTTATGATGCAGTCTGACGGGATCTTTCTGTGCCTTCTGGGTCTACTGCAAACATGCAGATTAATGTAGAAGCCTCTCCAGGTATCTCTTGAGATGAGGCTGAATTTCTGCTTTACTGATCCTGCTGACATGCAGGCTTTAATTGACACTTCCATGGCAAAAGCAAGGACAAGGCCCTGGTGTCAGGCCGCAATGCCTCATATAAGGCTAAACACTCCTCCAAAACAATAGAGATAGACAGTACCATACCTGTCATGGATGGCGCGATTAATTTACCACCGCGCAAAAGAGCTACTAGTCGGGCAAAATTGACTAGACTTTGGAAAAAGGCAAAAGCCCAATTGAACTCTGAATCCGAACTCAGTGATATTGAGGAGGAGTTCCCCGAGTTCTATATGGAGGTGTACCTGTACTCACACCTGCTCTGCTTCAGCCTGACCGCCACGCCTCATGTAAGGCTAAACACTCCTCCAAAACAACAGCCATCTGTCACGGATGGCACTATTAATTTACCACCGCGCAAAAGAGCTACTAGTCGGGCAAAATCGACTAGACTTTGAAAAAGGGCAAAAGCCCAATTGAACTCTAAATCTGAGCTCAGGTATATTGAGGAGGAGTTCCCTGAGTACTATATGGAGGTGTATCTGTACTTACACCTGCTCTGCTTCAGCCTGGCCACAAGGCCTCATGTAAGGCTAAACACTCCTCCAAAACAATAGAGATGTACAGTTCCATACCTGTCATGGATGGCGCGATTAATTTACCACCGCGCAAAAGAGCTACTAGTCGGGCAAAATCAACTAGACTTTGGAAAAGGGCAAAAGCGCAACTGAACTCTGAATCTGAGCTCAGTGATATTGAGGAGGAGTTCCCTGAGTCCTATATGGATGATTCAGAGGATATTTCTGATCCTGATTATGAAATTACTGATGAAGAGGATGCTAATCCCGTTTGGGATACACGTCCTGTTAAACCTACCAAGATTTAGGTAGATTATGTGGTCTCAGGGACACCGATAGGATCTTGGACACTCAATGTGAACCCCTATTCGAACCTGACGACCTATGTCAACCAGTGGTCTCCTCAGACCATGTAGCCAAATATTGCATCCACAGTACGCAAGCCTTTTGAGAAGGCAAAGTGAAATAAATTGCGGGCTGAATGGCCACTCCAAACAGTCCCTGATGACTCATGTAAAACGCTATCTGTCGATCCTAAGATCATTCAATTCCTGAGTAAGACAGGATGGAAGCCATCTAAAGGCTTAGATTTTCATTGCAAAACTGTCGGGATAAAATCATGGGCATCTTTGGCTCAGCAGCCAAAATCTTTGAGGCAGTAGAGGATGATCTAGAATTAGATTGCGCCATCTTAAGTGGTTAGATCCAGAGAGTGATTTAAGTTGGCAACGCCAACAATGCGGTTGTCACAGAACGCCACAAATCAATCTTGCTCAAGATTGAGCCCAAACGTTTAACTATGTCTCTAAACGAGCCAGCTAACACAGGCAAACGGTTTTCTCTTTGGGGACAACTTTGTAAAAGAATTGGCTCCTTTGTCCGGCTAAACAAACAGAAGTTCTTTTAGACAGAACCAAGGCTCTTATACTTGTCGAGCTGATTTCTTTTAACAATGCACTATACAAACCTCCTTCCCACAAAGTGCTCGACCCTGGGTTGTTAGTGGCCTAAGAGGTGCTCCTAAGAAGTCTTCACAATTTCCATTCTTCCTTACTAATAGTGTGGGGTAGGCTCACACATTTTTCCCATGAATGATCCCTCATTTCATCAGATGCTTTGGTTCTTCACACTGTGAAAGGGTATTTATCTGTTCTTATCTGCCGTCACATTCTATGTTTCTATAGTAAAGGAGTTTAAGCATGCGTGGGATAGGCATAAGGCTATCCTAACTATAAGATAAGACTAGGGACTAATGAAAGTATTTAGAAAATTGGGCAGACTAGATGGGCCGAATGGTTCTTATCTGCCGTCACATTCTATGTTTCTATGTTCTATTGCACAGACTTCCTTTCTCTACCTGTTCAATGTTCCTCATCAAGGGAAATTGTTTTTTCCCCAATGAGACGCAGACCTTGTCTCCGTGGACAATCAATCGTAGAGATTCCGGCTCATACCCTGGGTTACGTGAGCAACCTTTTCTTGTTTCCCAAAAAAGGCAAAGGTATCCATCCAGCGATAAATTTGAGACTGCTCAATAGTTATGAGCATATCAGCACTTCCAAGATTGGATGGCCAAATTGGATCTGCAGGATGCATATCTCACAGTGCCTCTCCCAGTACAACATCAAGATCAAGAACTTCCTGCAATTTACATGGTAGGGCAGTAAATAGAAGTTCAGGTGCCTCCCATTCGGACTGTCTTCGGCTCCATGGTGCTTTACCAAGCTCACGTCTTATCATATATTTAGACGGCATTTTTATTCTGGCTCAGTCTATTCAATTAATCCGGACCTTGCATGGACTTTGACTCTGTTAGAGAACCTAGGCTTCCTGATCAATTGGGAGACATCCATTATCGTTCCCACGCAACAAATCAAATTTCTGGATTATATTGGATTATTGTAGATTCTACCCTTCAAACTCTACACCTTCCGGTGGCAAAATTAGCCAATATCAAGAAGGAGATAGGCGAACACTAGCAACCTCTCAACTCTCTCTCAAACAACTGTTGAGAATGTTAGGCCTTCTAGCAGCATCTATACAGGCAATTTTTCCAGGTCCTCATGGCTATCGAGCCCTACAATGATTACAAACTTCATCTCAAGGGCAGCGCATCATACACAGATATGGTAACTCTGGACTTAGGAGCGGAGGATGAACTCCAATGGTGGCTTCTTCACATGGAAGCTTGGAATAAGCGCACCATATTTTGTACAGCTCCAGATTTGATAATCAAATCCGACGCAGGTTTGCACGGTTGGGGTGCTCAATGCGGAACTATTTCCACCAAGGGCAGATAATCAAACCTGGAATCAACACTCCACATCAATTGTTTGGAACATCTGGCAGGTTCCTTTGCAGTCC